AAGAAAAGAAGATACAGCAGTCCCTTGATTATCCAGAGATGAGGGATGAACTCGATATTTTGCATTCCAAAAGTCTGTCGGTGACTTAGAGGGTCGCGTCCTCGGTGAGGTAGGTATCAGTCAACCTTGTCCATTTGTTGTGTTTGAGTTGCTGTAGGCTTCAATCTCCCAGTTCTGTATTGGACCATACCTACACAAACGCACATACATGATGAGTTAGGAACGCAGGTACGAAACCCCAATTTGAAATTCACCACGACCAAGTATTCTACATCACCACATTCTTTCCCCCCCCCCCCCCCCCCCCCCCCCCCCATATAAAACAATACTGTTTTTGTGTGCTTTTCTTGGTTTTATCACCTGCCTGCCACTTTCCCTCTTTTCCCGATACACTTTCTCAACGTACTCCTCCCTTTTTGCCTTCCCACCTCTGCCAGTTGCACTGACTGACTGCGTGCGGTAGGCGGTAGGTTTTCATATCTACCACAGATACATTCCCACAACAGTCGCCACCAATCCCATACCCATGGTCTTCCACAACCTACCCCCATCCACGCTGGCACTGCCGCCAGTCACAACCGAGGCCCACGGCGACGGCACCGCCACCGGCACATTCTGCGCATTCACCGACGCCGACGACGGCGCCTGCGGGTCACCGTTGGCTCCGCCGACCTGAGGAGTGGAAAGAGGGCGCACTTGGATCTGCCCGTCGGGGATCTGGGCGACGAGGTTGTTGCCTGCAGGAGCGGAAGCACCTAAGGAGGAGAAGAGTGTGTGTTAGCCGTGGGGGTTCTCTGGGGGGAATCTGGAGACGTTGGAGCAGGTTGAGGAGGTTTGAACATGTCCACCAGCAGGGATATCAGCTGGGGCGGGAGCAGGCGTAGGAACAGGCGCACCTTGAGGAGCCGCAGCCGCAGCCGCAGCCGGGGTAATAGACGAAGAGGAAGGAGCAGCAGCAGCCGGAGCAGACGAAGAAATCAGAGCTGAGGAAGGAGCAGCAGCAGCAGCCGGAGCAGATGCAACAATCGGAGCTGAGGAAGAAGGAGGACGAGCAACCGGAGCAGACGGAGAAACCGAAGCTGAAGAAGCAGCAGCAGCAGCTGGAGCAGATGAAGCAATCGAAGCTAAAGATAGAGGAGCAGCAGCAGCCGAAGCAGCAGCCGCATTGGCATCTTGCTTCGTGCCATCATCTACCTTGCCACCGTCGTAGTAGATCCCTAGAGTACCAAGTCGTCAGTCTTTTCTTCGCGTTCCTCCAATCAATCCCTAAAGAAAAACAAAAGAAGGCCGTTTACTCACCGTGACCACTCCCACCGAACCGACCATCTTTAGAGGCATCAATGCCGCCATAGATCTGTTGCTGGCCGCCGTTCTTGCCATCACCCAAACCGTCCCTGCGGACATTTGCCCTGTTACCATTGCCATTGCCATTTGCATTGCCATTTCCATTTCCATTGCCATTTCCATTGTTGGCGTTGGCCGTAGCGGTAGCAGTGGCAGTAGCAGTGGCAGTAGCAATGGCAGTAGTAGTAGCAGCAGCAGCACCATTGCCAGCACCATTACCACCACCATTCCCATTGCCATTGCCATTGTTACCATTGCCATTACCATTGCCATTGTTACCATTGCCATTGCCATTGCCATTGTTGCCGTTGGCTGTGGACGAAGCAGCGGCAGCAGCAGTGGTAGTAGAGGTAGTAGTAGAAGTGGTAGTACTAGTCACACTAGCAACCGGAGCAGCAGAATTCGCGTTCGACGCCGAAGTAATGGGGTTGGTGCCGTTGCCAATGGTCGAGGCCGAAGAACTAGTCAGAGAAGCAGCGGCAGCCGCAGACGAAGACGAAGACGAAGTAGGAGCGAGCGGGACGCTGCTGCTGCTGCTGCTGCTGCTAGTCGAGGACGCAGCAGGTGCTTGAGCATTACCAAAAGAAGCCACAAAAGGAATAAGAGTGGTAACAGGAGAAGGAGGAGGAAAGACGATAATAACAGGAGTTTCGGAGATAGTAGTGGCAGCAGCAGCATAACCTTGACCCTTGACAGGAGTGGACTTGGCCGCCTTGCTGTACCATACGGGGGTTGACTTCTGGCCACCAGCAAGGGCACTATAGAGGCTCTTTAAGGGAGCGGAATCACCTGCATAGCTGTGATGAGGGACTTGGGAGATGGGAACGATGGGAACGACCTCATCGGGAGAGAGGATGACGAGAGGGCCATCATCGTTGGAGGTGCCGCGGATGTGGTTGTTGTTGGTTGGTGCAGCTTGGGCGAGCTGGGAGACAGCCGCGACTGCTCCGATGAAGGTGTTGGAGTACTTCATGGCTGTTTTTGGTTGGACGAGGTAGGTTACTGTAACAAGTTAGCAACGAGAAGATAGACAGATAGACAGATAGATAGACCGCTGAGGTAGGTGGTATGAACCCTTCAAGGGAGTCTACCAAGATAGGTGAACTTGGACACGTACTTTGAAGTGTGCTTGGAAGTGTGCGGATGCCACTGTCACCTAACAGTCAAGAGAAGCCTGGATGTTGGTTCTTTGCTGTGAGGTAAAGAAATAAGATGTCAAGATACAACTGAGTTGAGAGTGATGGGTGTTTATATCTAGGTGGCCGGACTGGAGAAGGGCCTTGGACCAAGCGCACATGTTTCTTCCCTTCTGCCGGAAGGGCGCATAGCTGGGGGAGATTTCATCATCGATCGATGGCGAATCTTGGGGGTACCGCAAGTTTGAGGTGGTTCATACTTCTCTGACTTGGGTAGAACTTGGACGTGAAGCTGAGAATGGCAATGCAGTATGATATGAAGGGATGAGTAAGCTGCGAAAGGCCAGTTATTGCGAGTCAAATACTTGGATTTGTTGCATGACCTGGGAAATATCTCTGTACCCGCGCATAGAACGGTCCAGAACTGATCTGGGAATCTACCAGGTTGTTTTTGTTATATGCCCTTACGCAAGCAAACAAATTACCTGCGTAAGCAAGAAGTAGTAAAGGCTTGCATGTGCCAACCCCGTGGAATGGTCCACGACGTCTCCTACTGCTGTTCAGAGTTGGGAGTAACAGCCAACAAGGCGGGGAGATGCTTTCGTACTGGCAGCTTCTCCTCGAATCTGACTGATGCTTACTTACCATGCCTTACTAAATCTTCTGTCTGCACCTGACATAGACCTTACAACGAAAGGACCGAGGTAAGCCAACGCGTTCCATGACTGTGAAGTGTCCTTGCAGCATCTCGAGTCGCTTCTGTGAGCTTAGTACATGCTCGCACAACACTGTAAGATAAGGAGTGCTTCCAAGGACGATGAAGCATTCGCAGGTTTATGATGCTGTCATTTCCTGATAATAGAATCGATCCCGCGCTGAGACGAGGTCAGCTGAGGCCTCGTCAGTCTACAAGCATCTCCCAGACAAGAAAATTAAAGAAACCATGAGAAATTCCACCTCTGTTACTCTGAGACGTCTTACTTGAAAAAACTATCATTCCCGAACAAGCATCATGCAGAAGCACCAGGAAGAAGAAGATTCCTATACAAGGTGAAGAGAGTTTAGGTATGTTCCAACAGTAGAGGTAGATCTCAAGGCTCTCAAAACCCCTCGGACCTTACTTCTAATCGATATACCGGAGCTGTCAAACTTGCATAGGTAATGCCTCCCATACATATACAGGCATGCATGTATGATGCAAGAAGATATGGCTATAACCAGGCTTTCTTTTTGCATTTCAAGACGTTTATGTGCTCAAAGCCCAATTCTACGAGTTCATAATACTTCTATTTTGCCTCCCTTTTTCCACTTAGCATCATAAAGCTCAAAACCAGGAACCACCATCGCCACATCACGTCTTTACAACCTCTGCCTTGAATCTCAACCAACTGCACGAGCGACGCCTACCTGCATACCTACCGCGCACCCAAGCATCCAGTCTAGCACCAAGCACCAAGCATCACCACGCACCAAGAAACGCACATGCAATGTTGCCCTTTGATGTTGTATCTCCAACGGATTCCTGGATGGACCATTCCTCAACAGCTGCGGCAGGTAGCTAACTTCTTATTCATAGTGGGAGCTCCCTGCCTGGTACGCGGCCACGAGCACAAGATTCCCATTTTTGCCTCAGCACTCACCTACCTACAAAACTCGCTCACGAACCAGGAGTGCTTCTTCACACAAGTCAAGTCGGACGCAAGCAGGCCAGATCTCAGCAAGTGAGGGAGTTGGCCAAGTCGAGCTAATTTGAAGTTAGACTTGCCGGCAACTTGTTTTGTTACCTCTAGTTGTTGTAGACTTTGCAAAAAGACAAGTGGTTTGGGGAGCGAGCACCTTGCCCGAAAGCCCGTGTGTATGACTTTGGTAGTAGTTCCTGAGTTGATTATCTAAGCTCCGAACAAGTTAACAAAATGGACCAATTTAGAACTGTGTAGAAACAAGCCAAAATCTGACATGGCAAGCACTTCAACCCGCAGCAAGAGAAAGCAGCAGAAACACACGGATAGAGTGTAAAACCATGCTTTTAAGTGACGCTAATGATCCTATACATTTAACCCTAGACTTGAAAAAACCCGAAAACACAAAACACTTTACATGTTTTTTCCTCGTTCCTCCACCAGACCATGCTTGTTCATAGTCGAACCTTTCTCCGCCGGACAGAACCGACCATGTTTCTCTACCATACCCTAGCCTGACCTGACCTGACCTGACCTGACCTGACCCATGTGTGTTGTGCTGTGTTATATCTCGTAAAACCCGACCCAATCCTGTGCCGACCGGAGTGTAGTTCGCAACATATGCCTTGAAGCCTGGTGCTGGTGGAGCACTTCCCTCGGCTGACCCATATAACGTGCTGCTTTCCCTAGGTAGAGCTCTGCTGCCAATCATGATGATGACGACAGAGAGAAGCAGCACTATGAGGCAGCTGACTGGACTGGATCCTCCTCCTCTATGACCCTGAGAAGCGCCCTATTATTTTCGATCCACCGATACCTGCAACGCCCAAACCACAGCCCGGTTCTTTCTGTGTTTGTTTTGCCAAATGGAGACCCTAGAGTCGTGCTTCCAGAAGGCGAGACAGTATGATTTAAACTCGTTTCCGGTACACTTTCCAATCTCTATCTTCGTTTTCATCGTGGGGGGGTATTATTCCTCTGGAACGCCAGAGAAGAGACCGACACGCATGCGATGGCTCTGTAGAAAGGGATAAACAGTTAGTGATATGCTTTAGGTGCGCATAACCAAAACGATTAGAACCAGGGCCAACTCACATAAGGCAACTTGGGAATGATGACCGCCAGGACAGCCAAGAAGTTGATGATAAAGTACGTCAAGTCGTAGTGCGTGTAATGCGTGCTGAGCAGGAACAGGACAATAGGCACGCTCAGCAAGAACTTCTTGGCAGGCGTGTACTGGGCTCCGTCGTCGATCTGCTCCCACATGTTCAAGTTGTCGTAGGCGCCGCCGTTGAACTCAAAGGGCACGCCCCGGACGTGGTGGAACATGATGTATGAGCCGATCATGTACGTGATGTTGGTCAGCGTCCATGACGTTTCTTGTGAGACACCGGGGACAATATCGTATATGATCTTGAGGGCGAGGATTAGGACGAAGTGGATTGTCCATGCGCCTGTTTGAGGAGAGGAGAGGTTAGTATAAGCTTTACACATGTCGAAGCTTGGTCGCACCCCGCGGCGGAGAGGGCAGGGATCACGGCAAGTCTGGAGGGGGAGGGATGGGGACGGGAGGATCATTACCCTTTGCGTTTACCCAGTTGGCATTCAAGTTGGGGAGAGCAGCCTGGTCGCTCAGCTGCTCAACGGGCTCGAGAGGCTCATGGTAGACCTGGAGAATGCTACTAGATCTCCTCCTGCGGCCACCCTTGTCTGTCATTGCGTTCTGATATGTCAAGGAGTCCTGACGCGGTGCCAAGGTTGCGGCGGGTGCGTCGTAAGAGACGGTGCGTGGGAGGACGATTGAGGAAGCCACCTTGGCGGTATTGAGACCGACGGAGATGGTCGTCGGCGTGGTTGATGTCTATGTAGAGATTTCGGGTGCGTGGGTTTGCGCGGAGTGGCGAAGATCACGGACTAGTTGGTCTATCGTGTTCGTCGCTGCCCGTCGTAGTTCGGAGACGTTGATAAAATATGAAACTGAGTCTGTTGGAATCTCGGGATGCGCAAACGGACTTTGATTCAGGGCCGCCCGATGTTAATAGTCGTCTGTTGACTTGATCTCTTGACAGTGATGCGAGGATGGTGCAACTTGTCGGTCGAGGTGGGATGATGTCACTTGGCTTTTTGGGCGAAAGGAAACCAGCCAGTCACCGAAATAGAAGGTTAAAAAGGGGGGAACAAGGTTGATAAATGTTCGCTAATCTGGTATCGATGCTGGCGCCGTCTGGCAGATTTCGGTTGTCGAGATGAACGAATACTGTTGGTATCAATCTAGAATGTCGGGAGGAAGCAAGGCCGGTCCTGAAAGAGGTTGAGACGGGAGGGGACGTGCCGGCAAGGTTAAGGTAGGCCTGTTCGCCAATAAGGGCTCAAGTCTAGCTAGTCTAGGGGCCCGGTGCTGGCTGTGTACTGTTGAAGTGGGATGGAGTTCCCCGTTTGTCCCCCCAAGTGGAAGGCCGACGTTGTCAACTTCCACTTTGGAGAAAGGAATCCGTCGGCGAATCAGCAGCGGGGAATGGTATCCAGGAGTGGAGAAATGTTTCTACCTCAGCTGTCCAGTCTGAAGTGCTCTGGACTCCCATCTTGCTTTTTCTTTTCAGCTTTAACGGATCACCAGCTACCTATCAGGTAGACTTTGAAACAAAAGTGTTTACGGTATACATACCTAGCATTCAATATGTCTACGTAACCATCATAGATTGCCAGTAAAATATAAACCCCAACAACAGGAAATCAAGAGGCCACGCGTACCCAGACAGACCCCTAGGTACCTTTGATGATTGACCACACACCGTCCCGCATCCCGCGGACGCCCTTTTGGTGCGGACCCAAGGGACCTTGAAACAATCCTGACCTTGCAGCTTGGGGTGGTGCCTTGTCGTGGCAGGCATCATTCCACTTGACTGATGAAAGGGGTCTCTCCCCACGTGAGTCTTGAAGCTGCGACAGGCGAGCAGCTGGCAATCCATACCTTAGCAGCAGCTCATGGCAGGCATAGGTTGGTGGAGGCTGAGCAATTCGCAAGTGGATCGCGTATCATTGGTGTCATATTCCCCAAAATTACCAGACGGGGCTCTAGACCGCCTCGGCCACAAGGGTCTCCTTGGTGCTCTTTGTTAGCGTCGCACACTGCAAACGAGATAACGCGGTACCCAGATCTCGTCCCTGGCGTGTAAGGTTGCGAAATTGTAAAATTTCGGCTTGCACTGCACACAGCTGGGTTTCGCTCTCCGTAGTGAGCCCGCCCCTAACAGCTGAGGTTGGAGCCAGCATACAACCTTCACATTTTACCCTGACACACCTGTTAATGTCGCCGGCGCCAAGATCCGTCACACTCCAATCCAAACCCTGCTCGACGCGAACTGCAAAACGACAAATTCAACTTCGAGATTCGTTCCACGGCCATCAACCCTCCCAGTTATCTCGGCCCTGCAGAGCCGCCATCTCACCGCCAGCACCCCGGAATCATCAAGCGCATTTCGGAAGACTGTTCCAATAAGTGGACCTCGTGTTTGACCGGCTCAAGCTACGCGGTGGTGGTACCGGTCAGTTGGTGTTAGGTTGCTATTCAATCATTGACTTCAACCTCAGCTCATCAGTCACGAGCGCTCAGCTTTGGAATAACAAGGTGAGCCACCTGAGACTTTGAGGCGTCTTCTCTCAGACTATCCTGCGCGATCCAGCAAACACCACCGCATTCATGGTTCCGCCCTGCATTGTGACCTTTGAATATCGCCTGGATGTCTTTTATTTATCTTTTTGGTTCATCACTGGGAGCCAAAGTTAACAAGCATGAAAACCAGGGTTCAATCCGGCCATTCGTGGTCTACAAACAGGGCCTTGCTTTTGTGGCGCTGTTGCCCCACTAAAATTTCAACACTGGCATTTGCAGTGTTCGGCCACTTCACTTTGACTTCCCCAGACACTCACTCAGTCTCTCGTTTCACTTGTCAGATATCGACTACCCCAACCCAGAATGAGCGCTCCAGGTTCGCCATCCAGCCGCAAAAGGCCGGCTGACGATGATTCGGATGCCTCGGGTGTCAAAAAGGCCCGGGTGGGAAATCCCGAGGCTGCCTCCAACGGACCGGCTGATGATTTCGAGGAGGGTGAGATAGGAGAGTCCCCTTCCGGATCTGAAGCGGCGTCGACCAAGGACAATGAAGCTGAGAGTACACCAGCGCATGGTGGTTGGAACCGCGGCGTTAGCAACGGCCTGCGGACATCCTTTATATCGCTGAGCACATCAAACCTGCGCAAAAAGTCGCAAAAGAAGGAAGCCGAGCCAGAGCCCGCATCAGAGGTGGCGTTGGCATCGCCTGTCAAGAAGACCAGAGGAGCGAAGCAGTCAAAAAGCTCATCGCCGGCGGACCAAAAGGTCCTGGATGGTTGGCTCGCCCTTCCTCCCCATGAGCCCTTCGCCCACTTCAGGGCACGACCAAGATACCCAGAATCGTGGCAGAACCGTTTTGTGGATTTCTGTGAGGCTCTTATTAGGCACAATATTCGATGGCCCGAGACAAAGATGGACGAGGCTCAGGCCAACAAGATGAACAATCCCGATCTTTTGCACAGGGCTTGGGTGCAGTGGCTGCAGGACCACGCGGACCAGAAATGCTGCTCTATAGATCAGGTGGCTGCGGGATCCAAGCTGGCTTCAGCGCAAAAGCTGTCCCGAGAAAGCCTCGAAAAAATGATTTCTGAAGCACTCAATGGCGAGCCTGAGGGACCAAAGACACAGGCTAGAAAGAAGGAGCCAAAGAAGAAGGAAAAGTCTGCCCAAGCAAGATGGACCAGATTCACCCTCCAAGGTACCAGATTTGAGAATCTAACAATGCCACCATTGGTCCCAAAGTCGGACTTGGACGAGTTGAAGAAGAACAAAGACCTGTGGACGACCAGATTCCTTCAGTGGTCTCAGGATCTCATCAATCGGAATCAAGACCTTTTGACCGCCAGTACTCCGGAGCTCCTGGGCGTTATCTGGACGTCCTGGTGCGCCTGGTTCAAACAGATCGTGACAAAGAACAAAACTCCCATTGGAAAGGACGTTGCTCGGAATTTCTTTCTCGAGAACAACGAGGATGTTGAAGCCGTTTACCGTGGCATCATGGCAGCCAGCCCAAGGCCAGCTTTAGATGAGGCAGAGGAGCCACCAAAAGACGAAGAGACAGAAGCTGCCGATGAATACAGCGAGCGCCCACAAGCGACCCCGGCCAGAAACGAGGAGCAACTATCACAACCCACAACGCCCAGAAACGAAGACGTCGACCTCCACATCCGCCACAAATACTTTTGCGGCCTCGAACAAGACCAGCTCTTCTGCATCGAATGCGCCTCCTACTCGCACGACTCGTCCCAATGCCCCCTCCTAACCTGCCGCTGGTGCAGCGCCGTCGCCGAGCACCCATCCTACGCCTGCCCTTCCCGCCGCCGTTGTACCGAATGCCGTCAGCTCGGACACGAAAGCGAGTCCTGCCCCGAGAAGCTCGCCCTCCCACGCGACCAGATGGAGTGCGCCATTTGCGGCTCGCGCGACGGTCACCTGGAAGAGACCTGCGTCGAGCTCTGGCGCACCTTCAAGCCCGACCCTCTCACCTCCTCCAAGGTCCAGGCCTTGCCTATCTACTGCTACTGCTGCGGCAACGCGGGCCACTACGGCGCCGACTGCGGCATGAACATGGCGCGCCCGGACACGATTACGGTGTGGGAGACGTGGAGCAAGAGCAACGTCGAGCAGCTTTACGTGGATCCGGAATCCGAAAAGGTGGCCATCGCGCTGAAGCCGATGCCCAAGGGCTCGGTTTTGGCGCCGTATAACGAGGAGGACCCGTATGCGGACTGGGATGCGAGTAGCAATGGCGGAAGACCGGATTTTGGACATGGTATTGCCCCGCAAAGACATGTCTTTTTCGAGGACGACGATGAGGATGAGGAGGATGAGGGGTTCATTAGGCCGCCGGTCCAGAAGAACCAGGGATCGTCGTCTAGGATTCAATTTGGAGGTGGTGGCAACCGTGGTGGCCGGGGTAAGAATGGAGGAGGTGGTGGTGCCTTCAACCCGCCACTTCCGCCTGGTCCGCCGCCTGGAAGACTGAGGGAGTTCCAGAGCTACAACCATGGCAGGGGAGGCGACTCTTTCAAGAATGGCGGCGGCGGCAGTGGTGGTGGTGGACGTGGCGGTCGTAATGGTGGCCGCGGTGGATACGGCGGCGGCAAGAGGGGCAGAGGTGGGAAGCAGTGGTGAGCGCGGCGAGGGCGGGCACGGAATTGAACAGGCACGTGGTGTTTCTTGCATGCGGTGATCTTGTTTGATCTCACGAGGCCCTTGATCAGTGGCCGGGCTGGCATTGCTCTCTAGCTCAGCACTAAGAATCACAATTATTGCTTGAATGCGGTGGCTCGGCATAGGTTACCAGCGAAGGGGTTTGTAAGTCGCTCAAGCAGGGCCGTACCTCAATCTAACAAAGTTACGGTATTTTTTGTCGAAAACAGAGCTTGTCATCAGCGGTTGGAGATACCCTTACAGGCGCATCCGTATCGAGCAAATACATAAAGGGATAACGATATATACGCAAGGCCATGGCAGTCGAGGGTGTGAAGTCTGATCCAGGAGTTCCCTCCGGCTTTTGTCGTTGTTGTGAATCTTTTTATCAAGCACACACCGTAATATCTTACAGGGATGTCATCCTTGATCTCATGTCTGTATGTATGAGGGATGTGAATGAGACTCGGTATGGCGGTATGTATGGCGATTGAGAACTTTTATCTGACCTTTTGGTTTTCATGGTTCCTGTTCCTTTGCTAGCAAGGCCAGACCTCAATCCTCTCATCCACTGTTGCTCACAACTAGAGGTACAAGTACTCAATTCATGCACAGTCATCTTAGAATCTGAACATACCTGCAATGGTTCCTTCCTCTTGAATGAACTTTTCCTCCTCCGCGACTGCCTGTTTTGGCATCACACTGCACATGGATAATCCGGATCATAGGCGGGTACTTCTAGGCAGTCCTCGCCCGTCGTTGGCTCTTTCCATTTGATTATACAACTTCTAGGACGGTCATCACATACCTACACTCTTCCTCGATTCTTGGGTCTTTTTACCCCTTTGTTCCTTCATTTCTTGTTCTCGCTTCAAGTCTGCAATTTCGGAGAGACAAAAAAGTGCAGAACCATGGCCAGAGGATAGTGAGGCGAGAGGTACACGTAATTATTTTCCGGGATATCTTCAATTGTTCGGTCAACGATCAAGAAGAGCTTTTACTTCTTCCTGACATGGCCATATGGTGGTAGTCATGAATGTGGGTGGAAACGCGGTCAACTTCTCCATTTTACACCCGATCATCACTGTTTCAAGTTCCCGTCATTGCAGCGCTTCGCAAAACAAGATCTCCTCTTAATGATGAAGTGTACATATAAAAGCCACTCCGCCCACCCGAGACCTTTTACAGTCGGTCAAGCCATCGATGAACTACAGTCTCCTGTTAGATGAAACCACCTAAAGGTCCAACGCGCTGAAAAACTGAAAGCTGTCTTGATTTTTAAGCTTTCCATCACCGCCTTGGTTTTGACACTTCCAACTGTCAGTCAGCTAGCTAACACATCAGCTTAGCCGTTTGGCAGTTTTTCCCCCTGGTTCCATAGTAGGGGTGACAACTCAGCAGCCAACTGCGGAGAGGGCTACTAAAAAGTCTCATCATTCTGATTCCATGAGAGGAGTCGTCCGACGGGAGAGACATCGATTCCTAATTTTTAGGTACAGTACCTACCTCTAACATCTGTGGTGCTTTCCGCATCAGTGTTCTTGCAGAAGAAGTCACACGCAAATGCAATTCCCAAAAAGTAAGGCGTACTATACCGTCTTTATACCTGCCCACCACCCACAGCCCTACACATTTGACCATGGGAATCTGACATGTCGCTTGATTGTGAATCTTTTGGGCGTCAACTCTCATGCCTTACAGCCAGGGGGGGGGGGGGGGAGCCGCAGGCAGAGAGCGGGGCCGCAAGAAGGGTCCAGTCCCGGTCCATCCCGTTTCACGAAACACGCGCGGCGGAACGGAACGAAACTCGTTGAGTCCATTAATTAGCCTCTGGCACGATGTGATCCTGTCGATCCACGTCAACTTGTCTGGCCCGTCGTGGTGGTGGTGGTGGTGGTGGTGGTGGCTGTACGGAAAGGCCTCCGCTAGGGGATGTTCGGTGTTGGGTGAGGTGCCCGGCTTGGATTTGGAAAAATGGGGAGTTGCGATTGGTTGGCAACGCTACTTATCGATAACTAAACAGCTTCCCGCTTTGCACTTTCTCCCCAACTCCAAGGGATGATTCATGGCTGACTACTTACAGTTAAATTGCGTGGCTAACAAAAGCGGAAAGTTCAACCACATTCTTTCCAAAAAAAAAAAAAAACCAAACCTTTGATGCATACTTGTAAGCCTTCCGTTGTTTCTTTGGTCTCTTCTTAAATGCAATGAAATGTCTGAAAAGTTTTATTCCAAGCAATTTCATGACCGACGGAAGCCGTGGTCCGAAAGTGTTAATAAGCACCAGCTAAAGCATCGATTCACCCGCCCCTCCTCCTCCATCGACGTTTTGTTTCGTTGTTTCAACTTCTCGTTGCTCTTCTCCACCGGCGACTGCCACCACACCTTTGGCATCGTTTTCGGTCCCTTCAGTTGGATCGACTCATTGGTAGCCCCTGGTTGCAGCACCATCCCGTTTCTGGGTGAGGTTGACTGGATGAGAAGTCCCGAGAGATCAGACAGGCTGCATTGGTGTCATGCGGGGTCCAAAAGCACATTTCGAATCCGGTCTGACCACTCACAGTCTCTGGTGCGGCTCATCATCAACCAACGGCGACCATCGTCAGAATCCAGTCCGGTCCAAAGGTCGCGCTCGCCATGGAGTAACTGGGCTACCGAGTCGACGCGACGGAGCAAAAGACTGCGGAATCACAGTCGTCTCGGGTCTTTCGAGAAGCCTTTCACATTCCGTCCCAATCCGTTTTTTTCTCTCTCTCACCCACTTGTTCCTGTCCCGACCGACATTGCATGGTGCAGCCGTCCGAGATGCCGTCGCCCCAGAATCTTTGCAACCATCATCTGTAACCATCTGCAGATGCACGAGGAGGGACGGCACTTTGTGAAGATAATTCTCTGACAGCCATACGACATCCATGTCGATACACTAGTCTACCGTCTGAATGGCCTTCCTTTGATGCTTGGCATATGCTCAGTGTGCATTTCTAAGCCATGGAGAGCCACCCTGGCCGCCATGGACAACCTATGGCCTGTTATGTATTTGAACGTTCTGAATGCAGTGGGAGGCGGTAGTCTTTCCAGCATGGCTTGTCATGGACATGGTTGTGGCTATGGTTGAATGGGATACTTTGCACGGATGATCGCTTCGCAAAGTCAAAGCCAGCGGTTGTTGGCGGAAGGAGTCAATGAGTGAGTGGATGAATGGGGTGGGATCAACTTCCGGGACGGGATGGGGAAACGCGCGACCGACCGACTGACCGGATACGTGGATGACTACTAGTCTAAAAGTTCAAAGGAGGAGACATACCGAGTGGTAGGTCCATGTTATGTCGGTCGGTGATGAGGTGTCACCAGTGGGGTATATCTCCCTGTCCAAGTCCTCCTCCACTCTTCCTGGGAAAACAGAAAGTCCTTCTTTTTTTCTCTTGGTTTTCTTTGGCTTCATATTCCTTTCTGTTGTACAAGGTCTGGAACCGAAAACGACTTTCGCCTCTTTTGACGACATCGGACTCTTGAGAGAACCATCATCGCCCAAGACGAAAACAGACAGAGGACTTACACTAGTGGAGTACCACCACCACCAAGATACCCAAAGCCTCTCTTCCCCTGCCCACCTTATCCTTCTTCTTCTTCTTCTTCTTACTTGTCGTTCATCAAATCATATTCGTCCTTCACTTTGAGTTCTATACCATGGAGAACGGGGTGATATCAGAGTAATCAACTTTCAACCATCATTTCATATACCCAAAAATCACAACCACATCGTCCAAGACATGCAAAAGCAAGCATGGCACCTAATACCAAACCACACGCAGACATCTACTGCCTGTGGAAACACGAAACTATCCGCGAGAAACTCTTCGATCTGCTCGACAAGCGCGACCTCTGCGCCGTCCGCGCCGCCAACTCCACGCTTTCATCCCTCCTCACTAAGCGACTCTTTCTACGAATCCACGTAACTTTCACAGCCAACACCTTCACCAAGCAAACACGCATCTGCGCCCTCAGTCGAATTGGCCATCATGTCGAGCACCTGACCTTCTACTTCCCCCATTCGGACGCTACATTCCTCCCGCCCCTAATCCATCCGACAACAGGCCGCGAGATCTCCTTCCTCTACCAACCCATCACCTCCATGGCCGCGGCGCTGGTCAGACCGAAATTCACAAACTCCGAACTAGGCCAGATCCTCACGGAGCAGTACCCACCCCTGTTCCACGCCGCTTCCAACGTGCCTTCCTTCATCCACGCCATGCGCCACTTGTCCAACATGCGGCACCTCTCCATCAAAACCCCCGGCCAGAACCCCCAGGATCGGTACCGCAGGGACTGCGTCGACTACGCACTGATCAGCTTGCGCATCTCGCTGGAACGGGCGCCGCTCACCAAGCTTTCCAAGCTTTCGCTGTCGGGCGTTCACCCCACGGCCTTCAACTACCTTCGCCACACGCCTGGCTCCGGCTACGGTTCCTCCCCCTCGGCCGAGCGTCGCTGGCGACAAATCCGCAAGCTGTACATCAGCGTCGAAAGCTGGGATTTCTACCACCCTACCTCGCCCGGACTGGACCACCTGAAGATCATGGATGAGTTTATTCGCGGGTTTGCTCCACGATTGGAAAAGCTTAGTTTCACTTGGGATGGACACCGAAAGGGGCCTTGCCCTATAGCACTTGGTGGAGACCCCCTTTTCGCTCCTGCGGGCGCGAGATCAAAACAACAACAGCGAAAGAAACAGTCCAACGATTTGAAAGACTCCATGAGCCCGTTACCGGAAAGGCCGCGACGAAGGGATATAGACATGCCACGTCTCAAGTATCTGTCGGTACGAAACGCGACAATGAACGCTAGCCAGGTTAACGGGTTAGTCAAGAGACACATGCGAACAGTGAAGGAGTTCCAGTTCGAGGAGGTCTTGCTGGTAGGCGAGGGGACGTGGGATGAGGCGCTCAAGCCGCTGTTTGATGAAGAGGAACGGAGGGCCAAGGGCGGGAAAAGGGGGGATATTTGGTGCAGACGGTCGATCAGTGGGAGTGTGGAAAGTGGGAGCGTGATGAGGCAGGGTCAGCGAAGGCAGGTGAGCGGGTTGTCGAGCACAACGGATGGGTGCGAGACACTGTTGACGGAGTCGTCGGCTGCTACAGCGATGAAGATGG